CTGCAATGGGGCCCAGGCCGGGCTGAGGGCCCCCCCTCCCCCCGAGTGCACTAATTTTTGTGCACTGGGCCTCTTGTCTACACTAATAAAAGAGAAAGATGCAAATGACTATACCTTCGTGACACTCACCAGCCAATCAGGAGTGAGTATGCAAATTAACCCAACAAAGATGGTGGGTTACTTTGCATAAGCAGGTGTGAGCAGCCGGGGCAGGGCGGGATGCAGGTGTTCTGCCCCTCCTCAGTTGCTCCAGGCCTCTGGGCAGTGTGGAAAGGTGGAAAGGCATCTCCGGGCCAGAATGGAGGCAGAAAGGTGGCTCCAGGCCAGAGCGAAAGTGGTACCAGCAGCCAGGGGGAGGAAGGCCCATTTTGCGCGTATCTTCATGCATCGGGCCTCTAGTTTAAAAATAAATGACTCGTGCATGCGTGATATTTGTCCCCGTCTGACACTGGCCTCCCGTTTAAATTAATTCAAAGACAGTTTCCCATGATGCCAGCATTTGTGACAACTATTAATAAATCACAAGGACAAACTCTAGACAGAGTAGGAATATTCTACCTGAACCTGTTTTCAGACATGGTCAGTTATACACTGCTTTCTCTCAAGTTCAAAGAGTGTGTAACATTAAAACAAAAGTTGGAAATACTTCATCACAAGAGAAATTAGTCAAGCACTCTGGAAGTGTTTTTAATCTTAATGTGGTATACAGGGAGATAATAGAATAAGTTTAATCAATTTATCAGTCATTGTTTTTATCAATTTTTTGATATCATGTTTTTGTTATTTTTATATCATGTTTTTGTTGTTTTTATATCATGTCTTTGTTGTTATATCATGTTGTAATTGTTTATTATTCAATTTATATATTATTTTCATATACATTTTACTAATTTTCTTTCATCTCTGAAACTTCTATTATAGAGAAAGGGCGAATAGTGATATTAAAATATTTCTTCTAATTAATTTCCTTTCAATGTGCACAAATCCGTGCACTGAGCCACTAGTGTCTCAATATATTGCTAACAGTCATTCCATGATACACTATTTTTTACATGTCCCATATCCTAGTATTTAATGATTTAAAGTGGGTTATGGTTGCACAGCCGGTGTAGCTCAGTGATTGAGCATTGACCCATGAAGGAGGTCATGGCTCGATTCTGGGACATGCAGGAGGCAGCCAATCAATGATTCTCTCTCATCGTTGATGTTTCTATCTCTCTCTGTCCTTCTCCCTTCCCCTCTGAAATCAATATATTTGAAAATAAATAAACAAACTAATAAATAAATAAAGTGGGTTATGGTTAGTGTACATAACTGTATGGGTGCATAAATACACATAGAAAATTAAACAGCATAATTTTTATAATACAGATATCTGATTCATTTTCACTCTACTGTGAGCTCCTTGAGGATAAGAACTATCTTATTGTCTCTCTATCTACAGCACTCAGCACAAAGCCTGGTACTCAAACTTTTGCTGAAGGAATTTATTATAGATGAACTGAATAAGAAATGAATACGGTCACTATTTACACACCAGCAGATTCTTTATAATTAGGTCACATCTCACTTTAGGTTATATAAGTAAATAGATTGTTTTAAAATTTAATAAAATAGTTTTGTTCAGCAGAGTGGTAAGTAAATGTGAACTATCTGGGAACCTTTCACCATTCTCAGGTGTTGGTGGAGGGGAGGAGTTTTACTGCAACTGTATACATAAAGAGGAGATTAAGGCATTCTTCAATATTTCAAAAGCATGTAACAAAAGATCTCCAGACAACATTTCATTTCCCTTATTTGATCAAGAGTAACCTAATATTGGAGGAATTTATATAAAAGGAAATAATAGTCAAATAAATAGCATATTTCTAATCCCCTGGATGGAAATGAACCTGAATTATATATGCAAAATACATTATTTTATATATGCATATATATGTATGTCTATCTATAAAATTTTAAATTGAGGGAATTGAAATATAAATCATAAGAAATTAGTGAAAAATAAAGATTATATTATATATACTATTTAAACTAAAAATGGATCATTCATTTAAAATGTGAACTATAATTTTTAGTTTATGTGCCAATTAAGCCTCATGAGATAAAATATTTTCTGTGAAACAGCCAAAGACAAAACAAACAAACAAAAACAGCTCTTTTTGGAAAAGACAAGCTCTAGAAAATACCCTGGACCAAACTACTACTGGTAAAAATGACAGGACAGGGCTCCTAAAAATTAATGCCATGAACTATTGCATTTTATCACAATTCTATTATTATTTCATTTTGTGAATATAGGAGAAGTTAATTTTGTTTATACAAGAGGAGAAAATATAATTGCTGTATTTATGAACAGTGCTTTGAAAAACTTAAGATCTAAAAGACCCTAATGATTTAAATAGTGTTACAGCAAATCTTTATATTTTTCTGCACTATATCTGTTCAAAGGTACTGGCCTTCTTTTTTTCCCCCCAATAACTGTTTTTTTCTTTTTTCATATATTTTTTTATTGATTTCAGAGAGGA